GGAGGAGGAGGGGGAGGGGGCAGGACAGTAGGAGAGGACGACGATGATCTGTTATGGTGAGCATATGAAGTGAGGCATACGCCGATTGGCAAAGGAAACGGAAAGACGAAAAGAAGAGGGAAAGGCGGAATGGGAGGAGGGGGAGGGGGTTAGCGTACCGGGGCGGCAAAGTGGAGGGTTGTGGACAAGGACACAGACAGACAGGTAACCAATCAAGTGCACAGATATAAACTGTCTTGAGGCGAACCTCATTCACCCGTAGAAGGGACTCCTTTTCATTACTTATAAAAAAAAAAAAGTGGCACAACAAATAATCGTATAAATCATTGTAATTGTTTGAAAATTCGATAACTTTATTCGTTATTGACTAGTTATGTTGTAATATTCAATTTATTTTATTATTATTTATTATTTTACACATTTGGATCATTTCTCTCTCTGTATCGTTCCCATTGTAACGGATGTCCCGAAAGGACACTCGTTCAATTTAAGCCGATTTGGAATAAAGCGAAAGTTTTCGAAAATTATATTCACTTTTTTTTTAAGTATTTCCACGAAAGTCTTGTTTGTATTCTCTTTTAACTTCTCAATATATCCAATCCGGCGAAAAAAGAGAAACTTTTCAATTTATTATTCAATCCGGTAAAAAGAGGGAAACCTTATTTGGTCGCTTGCTGAACTCATACCATTCAGCCGCGCAAGGATAGGCTGGGATAAAAAAGGGGAACTAACTTTTCTTCTTTTTTTTCTTTTTCCTTTTCTTTTCCTTTATCCTTTTTTCCTTTTTTTTGTTCCAACTAGGACAACGAGGACATCATCAAGAAAAAAGGAAACATGTCAATTTATCCAAACCGGAAATATAATTATAACCGTTACGAAGTTATAAAAAGAACCAAGCCTCTAGAAGACTTCGGGGCTCAGAGCACTGCATCGAGCCAGTTCCACCTCTCTCTCTCTCTCTCTCTCTCTCTCTCTCTCTCTCTCTCTCTCTCTCTCTCTCTCTCTCTCTCTCTCTCTCTCCGGCCCTCCAAACAACTCAACATCCTGACGACACCGGGTAAATTAAGTGGGAATACAAGGGAAAACACTGGTATGGAACAATCTTCTAGTTCAGGTTAGCCCTCGAGCTAGAGGGGAAAGCACAGACTCACCTGTGTTCCTCTTCAGTCCAAGGAATCCCTTTTCTCCGCTCTTGCTCCGCGGATTTGCCCAAAGAGGACAACTTGCTGGACTGTTTCTTTACACCGCCGCCGCCGCCGCCGCCGCCGCCGCCGCCGCTACTCGTTGTACCCGGACTCGAGGGCACCACCATAGTGGTGTCTGAACTCCCTCCTCCTCCCCCCACCACACCTGCTCCTCCTCCACATCCTCCCGGATCGAGGCCCGCCTCCCCGGAGACCGAGCTCGTGGCATTGTACGCCGGTAAAGCTAGTCTACCCTCATCGATCATGATAATGTCTTCCACCAGCAACTCGTAATGACGAACCAAATCGTCTATGGATTTTCCAGGCAGCCGCGCGGCTACCTTCTCCCACCTGGCTTCGTCGTTTTCGTCCACGTCAGCGAGCGCCTGCTCAAACAACTTGTCCTCCTGCGGTGTCCAGCGCACTGGGGAGGACACGTGGCACCCACTGCTCGTGCTCATGTTGCCGTTCTGCCCCTCATCGGAACCACCTCCGTCCGAATCCGAGAACCGCTGAAGACAAGAGTCTCCCATCGTAGTCGCAGCGGAGGCTTCTCCGCTGCTTCGCGTCTCGCTCAGCATTACTCTCTCTCTCTCTCTCTCTCTCTCTCTCTCTCTCTCTCTCTCTCTCTCTCTCTCTCTCTCTCTCTCT